AGAAATAAAGGAATGGGAATAGATAGTAGGACATATGTGGTATAGATACTATCTTAAGTGTTAAGTTAGATCTACAGAAGTCAATGTACACAGCTGTCCTCAAATTTATAATCCGTATCGATATTTACCAACAAATTGTTGACACGTGTTTTTGTTAAATTTGTTTTCCTGATTAACGTCTTGAAAATCATCATAATGCATAATTTGTGCATGAAGTTCTTCATTGACGGAAGAGTATCAACGGTATCGGCTACAAGGGGTGATATATAGGAAAAGAATAGGAAATTTCTTCATAATAATTATTAAATATTTCCGTTCGCTAAAGAAATGAATCCTTGCGTAACAATGTTACAAAAATAACTTACTTTTTTTCTATACAATTTCATTTTATAATGGCCCGAAACCGGAAAAGGGTTTCGGATCATTAGCAAAAAAGTAGTTAAAGACATCCATCATATTCCATCATTGAAGGAATAAGAATCGAAAGTGAAGGAAGGGGTCTGAATGAAGATACGGAACTCCTCAAATGAAGCTATTGTCAATACTTCAGACTGTTAATTATTAACACATTAATAATGAATATGCTTCCCACTTTGAATAGAATTCCTTAATCTTTGTGTTCCTATCATTAAAAAGAAACAGTCACCCAGGATGTTTTTTATTGTGACAAGAAATCTTTTAAACATTTGCATGAATTCAATTCAAATTATTATCTCACCCTCCTGAGCTATACAATTTTTTAAGTGTTTGTGCATCAACTTTTTATTGCATACATCCGTTCTTTCCCAAAAAAATAACAATTTCTCTAATATTTAAATCATGTAGTCTTTGTGATGCTGGTAGCATGCATCATTTCGTTTTTGTATCCCTTTCAACATCGATATGTTTCAGCATATATCATATCACATCATTTATATCCAAATTTACCAATATGCATATCTTACTAGTAGATCCTTCCTGTCAAGTTTAATGATCGGATTTGTACTCAAACGAATCGTTTAAAGTGAAAGTCGTTAGTGGTGAAAAGTTTTTCTTTGATTTTTTAAGAACTTGCGTGAGGATGTCAATAATCGTAAATTTGTATGGACTTAAAAGTGCATTTTTCTTATGTCAGAAATTTCAGTTTGAAGGAAACTGTCGAATTTATGTCCAAATATTGTTGATGTTTTCTTCAATTCCGTTTCTATTAAAAATTTTCAAGTTGAACATTGAACATAAAATTGAATTTCTAAATGTTTTTCGCTCAGGAGCCGTTCATAAAGTACGACAAACATTTAGCGGTGACTGTATAAACAACTGCTTATTGTATCTTAAATTTTGAATCTACACAAAGTCTCATAGCTTGTTCTTTGGGATCTTAAATGATGACTTAGAACAGTGATTCAAGCTTTGTTTTGCGACACAGTTGTTAAAATCTAAAGACATACTTAGTTTACATTAATTTTATAAGTTAGACACCCAAGCGACCCAAAAAAACTTGCCATTAACCTCAAATTTTGATATCTGTCATAAAACTTTCATTGTATGTCAACTGTTCAGGGTGCAACCCATCCAACATTAATACAGTGACATTTTTATCCTCTAATATCAACGATGCAGAAGTAATCCAGTGTGCAACAATTGAAAACTATATGAATAAAAAATCGCAAATAAATTTCTCTCTCCTGTCGACGGCTCTTGAAATATTCATAAAAAGAATTTGATAACAGCCTCGATTATTTTCGTATGAATAATTTTAATTGTCAATTTGATCGAGATAATTTTTCATAAAAAATCTCTAATTTCACTAATAAATAAATCTGTCGTATTCAATATGGTACGGTGCATACACACAGGAGAAGAGATTGATTAATATAATCTCTCGAATATCGGAAGCAAATTGATTTTACATTTTGCAATCATTAATCAAATCGTGCATACAACAAAAGCTAAAGGAGAACAAATTATTTGCAACCCTTTTATTTATTATGAATACGGTACATGTAATCAAAATGCATAGTCAATCTATCAATAGTCGGATTTAATTTTTCATTTTTCAATACAATATTTTTTTTTTGACAGAACCAAATAGGAAATGTTATGAAATTTTTTAAAAAATAAAGCATAACAAGGCCACTGACAGATAATTATGATGTTTTACATTTTTATTTAACAAATGAATTTCAACTTGTACAATATGTGCTTCAAGGAACTAAGAAAATGATATTAGGAACTGTAGATATTTATCTATATAGAAAAATTTCAACACATTACCGCGTTTTTATATGATAAATTGGTGTTGTTAATTTTTGACGTTTCTAATTCAATCGTAAAAAAGGACGTTAAAATGGATTTCCTTTAAAATTTTCATATCTGTCAACAAATATTTTTTCATCACATTTCTGATTATTTTGATACGTTATTAGAATTTAACTTTCACACAGAATGAAACAAAGCAAAAATCCATTCAGAAACTTTTGATGGTGTCACATAGATAATGTCAGTCTGATATGAAAAAAAAAGTTGTTTGAACAGCATGACATGTAATGGAAATAGATCGAGCCATAAAATTTATTCTACATGGAGATGCTAGAATCTGAACAGAAAAAAATAAGTTATATAAAAATCAGAACATGCGGATTTAATTAGAGGGTTGAAATAAAATTGTGAGTTTGATTGAATGTGCATAAAATTTTAGAATTTTTTGTTCTTCCTTCTCTGAAATGGAAGGAGAGAAATACGGAAAAAATTGCTTTTGATGCTCATATGAGTGGTACGCATCATGTATGGATGTTAAAGGTTAATGTACAGAAAAATATTTTTTTTCGTTCCATTGTTATATATAAAAATTGAGAGGGTCTAAATGTAGAAACATGATCATATCAAAAGACTATTTCTGACACGTAAAAAATGAGTTATATATGATTTTTTTTCTCGTTTCAATTGTTCTCAAAACCTGAACTAATTATGTGTAGTGAATTTCGCACAAAAACTTGAAAAGTAAAACTCATTTTTCTTCCTTCTATATTTTTACTGTTGTTCCCGTGTGCATCATCATAATCAATCACATTTTATTTTGACATGATATCATATGCCTCTTTCAAAGCCAGACAACAATCGTAAGAGATGAGTAGGTAGGAAGCCAAAAATATGAATAAGAAGAAGATGTGAAATTTTACAAGGCAGCTTCATTCAACTATACAATGCACATTGCTATGTGATATGTTTTATTTATAAAAAAAAATATATATGAAATGTAACAGAAAATTGTGGTTGCGTGATGAATTAAATATGGCACATTTTAAAAGGACAGGCAATGTTATCCACGTGCACCAATTTGCATTCATAATGATGAGTAACGAATTTTTGTGTTTTTTGCACGCTTACTATCGTTCGATTCGAGAGAGAAATGTGCTTGCGTACGTCATTATGTCCAAAAAGGTTGCAGATTTTATTCAATAGAAAACGTTTTGAATTCTAATTAAGCTGTCGGATGTGTACAAATGGTATCTCTGTCGATTCTTAATTGGTTAAAGATATCAAAGGTTAGAATCAGCAAACGTGTTTTTGCATGTCTGCGGTTGTTGTGTGCAGGTATCGCGATTTTCAAAAGTGGTACGTAGAATCCTTTTAAAATTTTATAACATAGACACAAGTGCGTCACAAAGCACATTTATATCTGCTACCTTGTTCTTTCTTTCTGTCTTAATTTGTTACAATTTTTTTTGACTTTTTAAACTCATTACACTTTCATTTTTTATGACACACGTACTAAAAGCATCATGCGATTGTTTGTAAAGTAATAAAATTGGAAATTAATTAACGAACTCAGAAGAAAAACGAGGCAAATTTTAATTAAAATGGATATGCAGACTCCAATTTTTATTCTTCGCGCTCAAACTTAATTTTTTGACTTCATGTACGTAATTTTACGGAAGCGGTTTACAAGTGGCGTTTCATAATTTTCCATAATTATTGAATAAAAAAAAAGAAAAAGAAGTAGAAAAAAAAATTGAGAGAGCAACGGCGAGAAAGTTTTCAACGAAAACAGCATCTGACAGACATCGCTTAATGTCCGATTAAATTTCCATTAATTATTAAGTGCAAATTAATCATAACAGCCGAGAAATTGGTCTAATGCCAATTATCATATTTTGATGCGGATTGAGAAAATCAGCAATCTCATCTGCTCATTAATAATAAAGTCAATCCATCTCTCGAGAGTGAGAGTCATTTTTTAAAACTCATGACAAATCCATGCAAATCTTTCTGCAAATAATGTTGTAACTGCTTGACAAATAAAAAAAGAACTACACATCTAGCTTATTATAGTTTGATTGATCGATTCGATCCAATAAATTTTCAATATGTTCATCAACAGTGCATTTATAAATACAATTTTTTTGGTCAATGACATCGCATAAAAAAAAGCTGTTAATAAAAATCCCATTGTAGTGCCTCGCAACAATCAATAAATCATGACCGAAAATCTACTTGATTCCCATTCCGAAAGAGGAACGAGCAGCACAAAAAATTGGTAAAAAATCAAAACACCCTTCATAATGCATGACATAAAAAAATATATATATCTAGGGACAGAAATATCTGTAAATTATTTTTATAGGACGATAAATCAGAAGCAATTTCATGTTTTTGTGTTCCGACACTGAAATTTTTTTGGTACAGTGTCATCACGCAAAATAATGAGCACAAAATCAATTAAAAGATGCAATTTTTTCATTTCTTCTTCTAATGCGCCTGGAAGTCGACGTTCTTTGCCTTATTAAATTTTATGTAATTCTTGCACCTTCTTGAATTCTTTCAGGTATTTAAAAGCATTCTTTTGATCCTTTTAATGCTCACAAAAAAAAACACAAATTGTTTACTTTTGAGAGAATTTCAAGCCCACAAGTAAAATGCTTAAGCATGTATTAGTGTTGAGTGCATCGGAGAGAGAATAAAGAGAAATAAATGTTACCGTAGGTAATTCAATATTAACATACGATCAGTTTCCTTTCAACATTCGTTGTAACTAGAGGGAAAATATTTTTGTTCCGCTCGAAAATAAAAAAATAAAAATCTAAAATAATTTACATTTATTTTGTCTAGCGTGAAATAAAAACGAAAGTTTAGTGAAATAGAACATAAAGTTTTTATGACTTAGAAGAAGCATTTAAACAAATTTTTACGATTTAACGGATTTCCCTATTAAATCTCGAACGTTGTTTCTCAGAAAAAACAAATAAAAATGCAAAGAAATTAAGAAGTACGGAAATAGAAGAAAAAACAAATATTTGCATTTCTCATAAGTGCTCATGTGTAATAAAAATAGTTCTACATTCTCCTGCCTGTATGAAAAATGTGAATTGAATTTGTCAAACAGTATAAAAGCAAGCAATTTAAAGATTATATCCAACAGTGTGTCTCTCACCCACGTTAATTAATTAAATGCTAAATTGATCGCAAATCTTGACTAATGATTTTTACTATAAGTGATGACGATCATGATGATAATCGTAGTAAAGTAAAACAACAACAAAATATATAAATAATAGAATTATAAAAAAAGAGAAGTCAAAAAGGCAGGCAAAAAAGCAGTGTAGAAGTGAATTGAAGGAGAAATAAATATATATATATATATAAATATTGTAGGAATACAAATGAAACCAACGCAAGCAACAGCCATGAAAATGAAGTATCTTAATGGGCAAAAAGAATCATACACCCTCACAGCTCGCAAGAAACACATGAAGAAGAAAATGATGTATGTATAAGTAATGAATGAATGTCTCACTTAAGAAATTAATTTAAAATGTAAAAGATCGCATTCTAATCAAAATTTCCAAAGACTGAGCATCAGTTTTAATTTACAATATCCAAAAAGAACTTGACAAGAACATACAAAAAATTACAATTATGTATTTTTAATTCAAAAATATTCATTAAAGTATTGTCTCTAAAGATATGAGATTTCTATGACAATAAAAAAAATTAAAATAATAGTTCTGCTTTATAGAACCAAGACATATTAAATTAAATAGCGTATGAAGAACAAAAGGGTCGACTCATCATAATAAATTCACATGTTTAATGACTTTCTAAGCATACAAATAAGGGTTTTAAAGTTATTGCATTCGCGGTAGAGTGTGTGATTGAAGAAAATAATCAAAGGGAGAAGAGAAGAATAAAGATTTTTATTTTGTTTCTGAAGACGTCCGGAGAGGTTCTAACTGTTGAAAATAAAACAATTCTCAGCGTTAACAAATTGAGGAAAGAACAATGATGTAGTCTAGATGTAGTTTTGTCGACGATACAAATAACAGTTGTGATGGGAATTGTGTAATGAATAAAATTAATACACAAGTTGAAGGTTCGAATCCTTAGAAATATGTTATTATAGATTGTATTTCATTTTGAACTTTTTTGCGTCTTAAAAAATGCATCAAAAATTATTTTATACCCAGCCGTAATCCTCCTTAAAAGTTTTCATCTCGATTTAATTAAATAAATCTTAAGATAAAAACTTTGCGGATGAAAAGAAGATAAATCAATTAAGGATGGACGTAGTAAAATTGTAATTACTTGATTTTTTGTAATTTTAACAGATCTAATTAAGTTAAACAATTTTAATCAGTACGGAAACTTTTTTTCTCATCTCATCGAGGATTATGTTTGGATATAAAATATTTACAAATATTCTTGCTCCTTGACACGTGCTGTTATTAATTCTTAAAATTTCTTTTCTTTAATCTTTAAAAAAATACAACTTTTTTTTGAGGAAAGAAACTTGTCATTGAAAAAAAAAAAGAAATTGTGACTAATTTTTTGAGTCTAGGAAGTTTGGTATAAAATAAAATATCAACGCATGACTGAGGGGTGCAATATAGATATATGAATTTTTGTCATAATTATGAAATGCTTCCGTTGTCTAAAAAGGAAATGTATCCTTGCGTAACAAACAACACCAAAAAATAAGAGTCTTTGTAACTTATTTCTTTCAATAATTTTTTCTTATTATAATGACCCTAACTGGAATGAGTTTCGGATCATTAGCAAAATTGTATAAGATATTCAAGGCAAAGCGGAAAGAGAAATAGAAGGGGTTTTAAAGAACAAGAGATGAGTTTTTGAGATCCTTTTAAAGCATTCCATTCATATTGTCAATATTTCAAACTGTTAATTATTAACACATTAGACTCATGGAAAAGATGTGACAACCGTGCTACCCACTTTAAGGATCTTAAGCGATTCCTTTTTTGATCTCTTCACATACCGTATCATTATGACTGAATGATGGAATGTCATTCAGGATGTTTTTTTTTCCTATTGTAACATGAAATGTTTTTTAAACATTTGCATGTCGTATTTACTCTTGAGATGCATTGTACATGAAAAAAAAATAATAAATTTATTATCTCACCCTATTGAGTTACAATTTTCAAGTGTTTATGCATCAACTTCTTATTGCATGCATCCGTTCTCTAATATTTAAATCATGCGTTCTATCTGATGCTGGTAGCATGCATCATTTCCATTTAATTTCCCTTTCAACAACCAGCGAGCGCTTTTCTGTGTGTTTTTTAATTTATGATTTTATTTTAAAATATATAAATTTTATAGAGCATAGTCATGATTCGTTGCCATACTCAACAAATCATGCTCTTAAATAATCACTAAATTACATTCGAATGAATAATTCTAGTGGAAATTTTCAACTGAGATGTATCAAGTTTGATGGTGCTGTCATGAAAATACGTTTATGCTAAGTTTAGGCACTGCAGTAATTTTCCTCTGTGTTGGATTGTTGCTATTGAGATGATAATAATGAGTAGCAATCTCGGAGGAGTGGAAAGTTCCATTCTTCTTTTATGGATGTTATGCAGCATTGTTTATATTTTATCTGCTAATTTTATGTGAACCCATCTGGCACAAAAACCCAATTATTCAGATAAAGAATTTTCTTTTTTGGACAAATTTGATTATTGAGTTCTTGTTTATATTTGGATATATCATATTTAGTAAGATAGTCGTATCAAGGTAGCACAGTTATCTCTTTAATACGAAGCGTCTGTTGATGCCGCTCTATCGCATATGGCAAAGCGTAAAAAATTATAATTTTCTCACAAAAATTGATTTTTTTTGTTTTTGGATGGAAACTCAAAAAGGCAAATATTTCGATTGTTGAAGTTTACTTCCGATTTAAGTCGGAAATTTAAAAATAACTTTTTTTAAAGAGAAAAGACACGTTTTGTTGAATAGGATGTTCGATTGCCACGTTTTTAGACATTTGAGTAACAAAAGAAAAGTTTCATGATCTTTAAGTTTGCTTGAATAAATTTAGAATGGATAATATTGAATATTTGCACGGAACTAGAATAATTGGGAGCGATTTTGTTGGGATGAAGCTTGAAGCATGAGTTTGTGTTCCTATTCTTATGAGTTTAACTATGATTAGCATTATTTAAGTCTATGAATCAAAGAAGTGATTCGAACAAACTGCACACCACATACTGAAAGACTAGGCCTGAGTTGTTACCATGAAGAGCTCGACATCGACTTTAAAAAAATTAATACTTGTAAAATCACCTGCCCATGACACCTCAATACTTTCAATACTCACTCAAAAACTTAGAATTTCAAAAATCTCGTTCTTTAATTCAACCAAAAATTGCAGAACAGGCAGGAATCTTACACATATTTGATACCTTTTCAACATCTCATAAAATTCATACGACATCAAACTATTCAATCTCTAAGACATTGACATCATACCGAGAAAAAAATTCTTATCTAGATTAGAAATATTTCCAACATACCCAAAAAGGTTCAATACAAATATTTTTCCAAGATTTCTATATTTATCATTAATTCACCATGAAGAAAAAAAAATACTATACAGCATATTCATTGCCGAAAAAATATAAATTAACAACATATTGGTTTTTTCCAGACGACATCACTTGAGCAATTGGTCGATGGCAAAGGAGAACCATGATCCTATGGATACAACTGTGAAATCATGCATTACTCAGCAGAAATCAAATCAAAAGCAACAAAATGTATCTCCTAGCATAAATAATGCTACCGATTTATTTGAGCTGCTGGAGCGATGTCAATCACAAAGATTAGATGATCAACGATGCGTGTTACCGTCGTATTTTTCACAGGTCAGTTCACACTCATTCTGGTTTATCAGTTAATAATCCAAAAGTACTTACCATCGTCATTTGTGACGGCATTCAAGAATTTTTTTCATATATGTGACTTATTCTTTCCTTTTGATTTTAAAGCACCACTTGAACTACATTCGCTGTAGACTCCTTTTTTCTTTTAAATATTTCCTTCCCTTTTATTGCGGCATTGAGTACTCTTGAGAATTTTTCTTGATCTTTATTGAGCATTTTTATTAAATTCGTCGCATTTTTTTTCTTTTCTTTTACAGCCTAAACGCGAGTACGACAATTTCAATAGCTATAAATCACATCAGAATGCAAAAATTCAACATCAAGTATCGAATAGCTCAGCATCATCTCGACATTCGATCAATACATCAATTTGTTCACCTCCAGCTTCACCGAACCACTCACAATACCAAAGTACAAGTACCAAATTGCTATTGGAACAGATTTTAAGTACGACAAGAAACCCTGAAAAATTACCAATGATTGTTAAGCCACAGCATGGAGGTTATTGGATAGATTGTGGACAAATTGATGATGAGGACGAAATTGATGCGAATGGAAGCAGATTTAATGATAATAATAATAATAATGGAACTAAAATTAATGATAATGACGATAATGATGGTTCACAGAATCAGTTCGAGATAAAAATTGAGGCAAATGATTCGGCACGATGCTACAGACTGCACTTTTACGGTCGTGAGCATTCGAATTTAATTGGATTTGATGAGAATCATGGACCTGCGTTGATGTCAATAAAGCCTGAATTGATTGCAAATCAATCACATTTGAGGATTCTGTTAAGGTTGAAAAGTGGAACAATGCACGAAATCATTCCAACGTCTTGCTTGGACGATAATGCAACGCCAGTGAAAATTAGTCGGCTATTAAATGAACAGCTTCAAATTGATACATTTTTACCCATCATTTGTCCATTAGCGTCTAATTTAATTGCTGCTTATGATGAGCATCAATTGGTTGTAAATTTTAAATTTGGAGTTTTGTATCAGAAATTTGGACAGACAATTGAAGAAGAACTTTTTGGCAATAATGAGACGACGGCTGAATTTGATGAATTTTTAAGTTTGATGGGTGAGAAAATCAAGTTAAAGGACCATAAAGGATATCGAGGTGGTCTTGACATTCAAAATGGACATACGGGAGATGTTGCAATCTATGATGTATTTCAAGATCGAGAGATCATTTTTCACGTGTCAACCCTACTTCCTTATACAAATGGTGATCCACAGCAATTACAGAGGAAACGACATATCGGAAATGATATCGTCGCTATTGTCTTTCAAGAGAGAAATACACCATTTTCACCAGACATGATTGCATCTCATTTTCTACATGCATTCATTGTCATTCAACCATTTACCGATAAAACTTATAAAATATCTGTTGCTGCACGAAGTGGAGTTCCATTTTTCGGACCACCTTTACCAAGAAATGGAATCATCAGCAAAAATAATCTCAAAGAATTTCTGCTAACGAAGCTTATTAATGCTGAAAATGCTTGCTATAAAGCAGAAAAGTTTGCAAAACTCGAATTCCGTACGAGGTCATCACTTCTTGAGAGTCTTGTTGATGATTTAAGAGATAAAACGAAAAACTTCTTAGGTGCTGATGCATCAGTTCAACTGGAATCGCCAGCAAAAGATCCGACAGTTAAATACGAATATTCGAGCACAACACGCTTTATAGATTCCGTTAAAAAAGCATTTGCATCAAAATCAAAATCTCAAAGTCAACAGTCAGATGGATCAACAACGTGCACGAGGAAAAATCAGAATACTGGAACTAGCGAGGGTGCACAAAGTGTAAGTATAAACTTGTTTATTCTAGTTTAATACACTGACATTATGAATTACACTCTGTTTTTCATTAAAAAGTTTTGAAGTAAATTGAAAATTTTCCATTTGACTCACTATTGCTTTGTCCACCCACAATTCAAGCAATTCATGAAGCTTTAGAGTAATTCACGTAATTAACGAGCACTAAATCTTATTAAAACTTTTACATTTCACTGCTTTTTAATATTTAACGTTTTGTAAACAACCCGGAATTATTTTTGAAAAATTCTGTCACCTCGGGAGAAAAACTTGAAAAATTTGAATAAAAAAAACCCGTTAAAATTTAAAATTTTATTATTATAACGAAATTAAGGAACATGTTGCCTAGCCAAAACTAATTGAAATAAATTTTCTCCAATAGATTGGAGTGAAAACTCATTTATCATCAAAGTTTAGCAATTTCTCATCCTCAAACTCATCAATGGCAACTCTCGAAAAGAAATCTCCAGTTACATCAACAAAATTACTCCATCAACAATCACTTCCAACGCCAAAACATCACCATCCACTTCAACAGCAATTATCGGCTCCCGCACAAAATAAAATGGCATCAAGTGTAGCAGCAGAATCAATGCAAGTGTCTGTTGAACAGCAAAGCGATAAGTCAAGTCTTAATAGTATTGAACTTGAGGTACTGAATGACTGTGATTGTGATAGAGGCTTTGGATCAATGTCATCCGGTGACCAAGCACAAATTCGCCGACAAAATTCCGAGAAATCTTATCAAGACATACATCATCAGCATCGGAGAGAAGTTGATGAACTAAGAGAAGAGATTACGAAACTTAAATGTGACAAATTGGATCTGTTGAGACAGAATGTGGTAAGTTGTATAATACCACGACTGATTTGTATGTAGGAAATGATTTTAAACATTGTTGCTTTCATCTATTCCTTTTTATTAGACATGTCAACGTGATATTAAACGTTTGAGAGAACGTGAACTTGTGCTGCAGAATGATGTTGGTACAGCACGTAATGAAGTTCTTAAAATGCGCGATCTTCTCAAAGAGCTTACCTCCTCGCCAACTATCAGTGATTTGTAAACCCAATAATATAAAAACTCACCTTAATAATCATGAATTTCCTTTTGAAAAACAAGATATAATATTATTATTATTATTATTACTATTATTAAATGTTAAGTGTTGAATGGTGCAAATTTATATAGAAAGTATAAAAAAGAAATAATTACTTATTGATAACAAAGATAAAGCCAAATGAAAATTAATATATGATTGTTTATGATCTATATGAAGATGAAATACTTAATAAATGTTGATCCATTTAATTAAAATTACTAATTACAGCTTGTTTTTCTTCATTTATTGCAGTTCTTTCAGGCAGAGCTGCGAAACAGGCACCTGTGACAGGTGAGAACCCTACAATTCCTTGATAATTTATAAGGTTTTTCTAACAGAACCATACAAATTATCAAGGAATTGAAAGGTTCTCACCTGTCACAGGTGACCTGTTTCGCAACTCTGCTTTCAGGTTTCTCAAGTCGTTCGCTGCTTTCAAGAAAAGTAAATTTTTAACGGTTTCCTCAAATTTGAATTTTTAACGGTTTTATAAAATTTGAAACCATTACTGTATTGTAGAATTTGAATTGTAACGGTTTTTGTAGAATTTGATGGTTTAATTATTGTTGTTCCTGAAATCTCAATTTTTTCATCACTTAAAAAAAATTAAATGAACAGAAAAAAAAAACTTCATTTTTAACTTTTTTTATTGGTTTTTCATAAATAGTTCAAATTAAACTAAGGTACATTTAATAAAATATTAATTTCAAGGGTATCAAGTTTCAACTTCAATAAAAAAAGGATCCCCTGTGTCGACATACTTTTTATTATATTTTATTTTAGCGAATTTAATTAAATATAAATAAGTTTATAAACTTCCAGTGTTCATAATAATAATCATCATTCTTTTTATCGCAATTAATTGGAAGATTTATAAGTACTAATTAATCAGTAAATACAACGATCCAGCATTTTTCTTCAAATCTTTTTATCAAGTCATTGACAAACGTGGCATACAAAAAAATTGAATCTGTACGAAAGTGTCAATGCCTTGCCTTTTTTTTTGATGTATCACAAAACAATTTCGTCCTTTTTCAGAGGTTTGAATTTTATTGGCAGAAAATATTGAAGAATTTGATATTTTATTGAGCAAATACGGTTTGTATGCCTCTAGTTATCATAAACGTTCATCCATTAATGGAATTTAAATCATAAAAAAATTGAATTGAACAAAGAAAAAGTTTAAGAAACCTTAAAAACTTAAGTTTCAAGGTATTAAACTCATTGTTGAGCGAATTTGTATGGTTTTGCAAATAACAATTGCAAATATTTATTTAAAAGAACCTTGTTGAATGCTTTTATGACTTATAATCGTTGAATTGGTTTATGAATTAGCTTTAAATATATTTAAATTGTTAAATATTCTATAATTAAACCCCAAAAGCCAACATTTGTGTTCAAAGATATAAAAGCTTTTATAATTTCCGTTGAAAACCATACAAATTATTTTGAATATTGATGAAAACGTATAAATGTTTCAACATTTTGTTCAAAGACCTACAAATTCATTTAAAAACAATACAAATGTTTTTAAAAATCTTGGTTCAAAACCTTACAAATGTTTTAAACTTTCAGAACCATACAAATGTTTTTAAAAGTTCGAATTTTTTGAGCCGTTAAATATTACATTATATTTTTAAAGATTACATAAAAAGTATTTTCGAGCAACTCAAACCTCTGAAATTTTCCTCATTTTAAACAATTTAATACTTTGTCCGTAATCATACCACTTGATAATAATTAAAACATACGATTAGTTTTTGATATTGGATTCTATAACAGTATTTTTCCAAGAATCAAGCTGCCATTTACAGCTCAACAATCGTTAACAGTACAAAACAAGTTTTCAACATTGAACAGAAGTAACAACAAGGTAGAACTTCCCTAATTAAGAAACTCATTTTTAACATTCTTATTTGCATTTCTAGGATATGTATTTAGTAAATTAATAGTGGGATTGATCTGTGGAATGGACAACACAAAAAATATCGGGATTTCAATGTAAATGTTTACGTCTAACTTCTTTTTCCTCTTAGAAATCACAAAAATGTTAAATTTGATATTTTTAAACGTCATATAAAACAATATAAAAATGTGAATGGTATAAAAAATTACTAATTTTTTGTTTTTTTTTTTCATTCTTTTTGCGAAAAGGCCACAATAAGGTTTCTATTTATAAGCACCGCATTCATGTCTATCCACTAAAAAACAAGCATAAAAGAATATGCAAAATTATTGGCATTTTTTCAATTAATTTAATGGGGTCCATTTACAAATGACGTCTAGCATTAATGTGCAGGCTAAGACATCGATATGCAATCTGACCTCAATTAAAAAAATTTTGCGCATTTTTCTGCAATTTAAGTGCACTCATCTGCTTCAAATTTACGTACATGGATAATTTTTGTGGACAGCTGAGTCGTTGGAAGCTTAAGAGCTTGTTCTATATTCCTTTGCCGATCTATTATGTGAAAAAAATTGATTAAATTAAAATTAATTTAAAGAATGACTTGATGTTGACCTTTCAGCATATGAAATGTTTTTTAAGCACCAAACTATGCGAGAAAAATGCGCTTCTATCACCAAATGACAAATGAATATGCAATAAAATGTCTCACCTTTGTTTCATGTATGGATTTTGGAGAATTTTGGGATGAGTTTCCATAACTTTGAGCAGCAGCACGTCAAGATATTCTTCAAGCTCTTTGTTCCTCTGCTTTTGTTGAAGTAAATCGTTCTCAAGATTATGGGCAATCTTCATTACTTCCTAAAAATAGACACAAAAAAATAAATCAATTTTTAATAATTCACTAAAAAGCGTGCTAAAAGCTTCATTGTAGGCTGACAAGGTGCGGCATGAATGACATGAATTTACATTTTCACCATATACGCATTGTCGCAAATGATTTAATTTTTATGTGAGAGTAAAAAATGTGTGTGAAGGGCTTTAAGAGGATTTGGAATGGATTATCTGCAATTGCTTTAAGCGTCAACGTTTACGGTGTGATGATTATTGAATCACTTAATAGTATTAACGAAACTGTATGATTCGTAAGAAATTCTGACTTAATATGTTTGTAAGCATGAAGATTTTGTAATAAGTGCTGTGCTTCACCAGGAAATACCAACTGAATGTATTACTTTACATCACAAAGAACTGAATTGAGTCATTAAATTTAATTTAGGTCGTTAATTAATCGCTCAATTTTCAACGGAAATTTTTATTTCAAATTTATTTTAAGTTCAAATAAAGTTCAAAATTTTGAATTTTTGAAAACCGTTAAAATTTATACATTAAATTTGAAGCAACATTTTTGGACACAATTGTAAATGCTCACCTCTTTTGACTTTCCATCGTACTTCATAAGAACTTCTTTTGGCAAATCAATTTTCTTCTCGACATAAGTTTGATTATTAAAAGCATTTTCACCACCGATGATGATTCTTTCACCGCCATTTCCAGTCGATGACTTACTCAGATGATTTTTGATCATATCATTGTCTCTATGACTTTTACTCGGTGTATGTTCCTTTCTGAAATTCTTCCATTTCTTAGAGAAAATATTTTCCTTGTCTTTTTCAACCTTTTCACTCTTAACTGAAATTGGCGACATATTAGCACTTCCAGCACGTCTTTCTTGTTCTATAAAATTAAGAGTGACCATTGGTTCAGCAGCTGTAGCTGAACGAGGCATAGGTTTTGGCTCATAAACTGGCTCTGGCTTTTCATCAATTATCATAGTTATAGGCTCTGGTTCCAATGATACACGCTCCAATGATTGTTCCTGAATAGTTGGTTCACGTTCTTTTTGTTCCTCTTCAAGATTTAAAGGCACACGAGATGTTTCCCATGAACGTCTCTTTAATGAGTCTGAACTATGTCCAATTTCTATGTTTTTGCCATACAGCTTTGCTTCCCATTCATCAACTTTGCCGTCTTTTTCCTTTATTGACGATGAATCGCTATGTCTAACTGGCTTAGTAATTATTGGAAGAGTCGAACTTTCTCTTAATATAGGAGAATCTTGTTTATTTAATATCAAGTTATTATTTTTCTGACGAACATTTAAAGAACTTCCAGAACTCTTGTGTGACAAATTCTCAAACACAAATTCATCTTCATCTTCACTAATCACACCTGGATCAGCATTTTTGTCATCACGGAAGCTCCCACGTTTCATCACGCCAAGATTTGGAGTTCCAATGCTTGAAAAACTACCTGTATATGATTCGGTGTCTTCACCTTTGTCTTTCTTTTTCCTTCCTGTCACATGCATTTTGGTTCCAAGCGATTTGGCAAATTTCTTTAAGCTTTTACGCTTCTCGAGTGCTCCCAATGACAATAAACTTCCACCAACAGCACCAGTTATGTTACTTAGTGACGATTTATTTTTATCTTTCTTACTCAAATCACTCAATGAACCAGCCTTGACTGTAAATGCTGTACGTAGTTCCAATTCACCGCGATCTTTTTCTTTCTTCTCTTGTCCTGGCTTACTTTGAAGCTTAAACCATCTCGAACGAGGTCGCTCAAATTGATCCATTTGATTTAATGGCAATGTCACTAGACCGAGAAATTCGTCCATTCCGAAATTGTTTCGATGCAAACATGTGAGAGTGAGTTCAGCACGATTACCTTGCGATGGAATTGCACTGTGGATGAAATAGTATTAATTAGTAGGTATGCATTTGGTCATTTGGAAGTGGCAGGGGTTTAAAAACAAAAAGTCTAATTCATAAATAACGATCATGAAAAGTTTAAAAAATAACGGTTTTCAAAAATTCAAAAATAATCAATTTTTTGGTCAAAAATCGACTGAAATTTTGAATTTTAGAAATTAACGGATTTTAAAGAGCTATTTCAAGACATACTGGTCTCTAGTTAAAGAGTCTTAAAGACTAACACACGAAATTAAAGAGCGTTAAAACGACGAATATAATAAATAAACAATGAATAATATTAAATTAAAACGTCTTTGTGAATTATTATACAACTTACAGTTCACATTCTTCGTGCCATTCAACATTTGACGATGCATTATCTTTCAATGATGTCTGATACTTCTCTTTTCCTAAAGCGATCGTCGTAAAGCAATTATTTGTTCCATTTTTGCCTTTTGTGAGAAGACCTTTAGCACGTTGGACTGTGAAATGTGAATACATTAATTAAAGTTCATTTTTCATGAGTCATCAATTTTGATAGTCTTATCATAATGATTATTTATGTTTACATTATTAAAGCGATAAGAATCGTTGCACGAATAGTGGAGGAAATGATTGGACAAGTAAAGAAGAAGTAAGAAATGCGAATTCCGATGGCATGAGTAATTAACATATTTTAAGACAGTTAAAACACCTTCTATACTCAAAACTATCCAATTTTGGAAGGTGTCGAGAGAGTAAAAATATAGTGTTTCATTGAATACACATTAAAACAGTATTAAAGATTCCAAATTCAATAGATATTAATTCTCACACTGCGTATTTCACTTCTTTTCATCAAAAAACACTATTATTTATTACTTGAAGTTCCCGTTATGTATAAGAAAAACTGTATTACATACATTTTCACTCGACTGTCTTCAATTTTATGACACTTAATGGATGCACAATTCTCATCGCCAACGTTTCACATTCTCAAATTTAATTTTAGAAATTTACGTAAATTAATCAAGTTATTAACATTTTGTAATTAGGAAATCGATTTCTTTTTGCAAATTCTTTAAATGCTCCAATTCGCACGTATTTCACTGTTCTTACCTGTCACTTGGATGTGAGTTGGAGTATACATTATCTACTAATCTATCACGTAAAGATTTAGTCTATTATTGACGTTTAAACTTAATTAAAATAATAAATTAAAGTGGACTAATTTGTTGACAAAAACTACACAATAATACAGTTGATTTTCCCCTAGAACAATCCATAGTGTGTCATGTCTGTTATGATTAATTTTTGACCTAGTTTGAGTAACATTTTGGTGCTATTCTGATTATAAGCCATTGATGATTGAAGAAATTGACGGAATAAATGATCAGCATGTAGTTATAAGTTGTAATAATCCTTAAAATTGACATTTTATGATTTCATTTTCGCTCGGAAAAATCCCTTGGAAAAATTAAAGAAATTCGAAATTCAAAAAACCGTTGATTAGTTTCAAATAATGTTTTTGCTTAATTTAAGCACTTATAACATTAAATAATCCTTTTTAAACAGAAAAACCAATAAAATTTTATAATTTCTATCATCTGATAAAAAAAGAGCTATTGAAATTACGTAAATATCTTGAATTTCACAAATTATCGATTTGTTTTGATTTGTTGATTTTAAACTTTCAAATTGACAAAACAGAATTTTGAGTAATATTTTAATTTTAACATAAATAGAGTATTTAAAAGCAGGAAGTGTATTTAATTGACATAAGGAACTAGTAAAAAGCATGAAATCAATGGATTATCATTTATTTGATGTTATATTTGTAATAGAAAGTGAGTTTAAAAATTCTGTGAATCGCAATAAAAGTTTTGATTAATTTAATTAAATTTACAGGTACTGCATCATGCGGTGTCTACTTAAATGAGATGAAAACAAGTTATATTCATCCAGCACTAGAGTATTTTTCATCAGGACTTGAGGATTCTAATTTTTATGGCATTGTTTTGTATAATGTAAGTGTTTGTGATTTATCAACAAATATTTCACCATAATTGACAAGTTTACCTGTTTATAGACATCTCAATGTGCACCAAGTAATACTTGCAATACATACGGACCATTTGGAGCACAGAAGTTCTTGAAAACAATCGATTCACTTGAGTAAGTATTGTTAAATGTTTAATAGATACAGGATGGAAAAGTTTTCAATTTATTTCTTAAAGATTGACAGGAGGAAGAAGTGAAAGTAATGCTAATCTCGCTGAGGGTCTTGCAACAGCTCTTGTGTGCTTCCAGGATTTAGAAAAGCGTCATGAAAAGGACACACAAATCCACAAACATTGCATTCTTGTCTCCAACAGTCCACCTTATAGTATGCCAGTAACGGAATGTTATGAATATGAAGGCAAGACTGTTGAGCAGTTGGCGACTATTTTCTCTGAAAAAAACATTAATTTATCGATTATTTCACCACGAAAGATTCCAATTTTTTACGAGATTTTCGAAAAGTCTGGCGGTGATTTAGGAATTACTGCAAAGAATTATAGCAAGGATCCAAGACATTTAGTTCTATTAAAAGGCTTCTCATTGAAGGAACTGATTCATGTAATAATAGTTGTCATTTTTTAAATTATGATGATTTTAACTTAATTAATTTTTAAGGACAAGCCAGCCGATAGTCCAGCGAATCAAATTCCTAATCAGCCACAAAATCCAATGCAAAATGTTGTGGCTCCACAAATTCAACAAGCTCAGCAGCAAATTCCTCAGTCACAACAAGCTAATGTTCCTCAACAGACGCAAATTATGCAAGGAAATGAGCAAATGGTTCAAATGACCCAAATGGGAATAAATGCACAAGGAAATGTCCGAGCAATTAATCCAAATATTATTCGTGCTAATAATCCAATGGCAATGCCACCAAATGCAGGACAAAACTTACCAAATCAGAATCCTCAATTTCCTGGACAGATGGCAAATTTTCAGCAGCAACAAGTGCAAAGAGCTCAAAATCCTCAAAATACTCCACAACGTCCACAATGGATGCAAGCAAATCAGCCTGCTCAAAATCGTCCAAATCAATTTATTCCTGCAAACATGATGAATGCAAATCTCATGCAGAATCAAGCACAGCAAAATTCAGCATTACTATCTCAATTGAATCAACCGCCGACCATGAATCCAAGCACAATGACTCCTCAACAGCAACAAAATATCGTTCGTATGGCTATGCAAAATCCAAATCAAATGAATAATCCAATGGGCAATCAAGTAATGAATCCAGGTATGCAAGGTCCACAACAAGGAAATATCCCAATGCAAAATCAAAATCCTATTCAACAAATGCCACAACAAGGAAATATCATGCAAAATGCTCAAAATCAAATTCAGCAGCAGATGCCACCACAACAACAAGCTAATATGATGCAAAATAATCAAAATTTGAATCCTCAAATGGGACAGCAACAAGGACAGCAAGTTGTTACACAACAGATTCAACAGCGTGAAAGAATTTGGCGTGGAATGCTTGAATGGAATGATAAACAGAATCAACAGAATCAAATGAAACAAGTTCCATGCGAGATTTTTGCTAGTATCTCGAAGGACACAAATGAACTGGAAATTAGAGGAGATAATTGGCCACAAAGATTAATTATGCAACTTATGCCAAGAAGTGTAATCTCTAATGTTGGCGGTCAGTTACTTCGCGACGCTAAAGTTGTAATTTTCCAATTTGTTAATTCGGAACCATTTGAATCACTTTCAAAAGTTATGGCTAGTGGATTTGCAGGATGCGTTCATTTTACTAATAATCAACAGACACAATGTGATGTTAAAATACTGATACTACTTTATATGCAGGATAAGAAGTCATTTTATGGTTTCGTTCCAAATGATCAAGCTGGATATGTCGAAAAGTTAAGGAGAGTAATTCAGGCATCGAAAGGCATTCAATATGGACAAAATCAAGGACCTGTTCCTCAACAGCAGCAACAAGCTCCTAATCAGCCAATTCAAGCTCAAGCACAACCACAGCAGATTCAACAGCAAGGAATTCCTAGACAAATAATGATGCCTGGAATGACAGGAAATCAAAATGTCGGAAATGTTGGAAATATCGGAAACATGATGCAAGGTACTCAAAATGATCAACAAAATATGATGTTTAATCAACAGATGCAAATGCAAGGAAATCAGCAGAGAATGACACGTCCTAATATGATGCAGAACAATAATCTAAGGCATTTATTGCAACAGCAGCAGACACAATTTCGGCCACAACAAATGGGCGGTCCACAACAGAATCCTCAAATGCATGGAATGGATTACGATATGAATTTTCAAATGAATTAATTGTTGTTTCTAATTATTGAATAAAATAATAAAATTAATCGAAAATGTAGATATTATAGTTTAAAAACATATTGGATTTGATAAAACTGGATAAAAAGTTTAAAATGCTTGAAAACCATATAAATGATATTAAAGGGTTTTGATAAGACATTTAACGGATTAATTTGAATGTTTTGAAACCATACAAATGATTTCAAATGTGACCATAAAAACCATACAAATGTTTTCAAAAAATGTGATTGTGGAACAAAACCATACAAATGATTCAAATTAAACACTCAGAACACTTCAAATGTTTTTAAAAAATCAATTAACTTAATGAATAGTCAAAGACCAGTTATTTTACTATTTAGAAGAAAACCATACAATTCCACAAACTTTTATTCTATTTCGGGCAAGACGATACAAATTTACAAAATGTTTTTTTTTTATTAGATTTATAAAATCAAAATTTATACGAAATTGCAAGGTTCTGACAAAAAAAGTATGTTTTAAAACTAAAAGTTCTACATTTTCGGTTAAAGCGGAACCGATTCTAATAAATCACTGAACAATAAAACATGAATTGTAAATTCTTTGAATGTTATATTCCATTAAATTTTTTTTGTTTTTGCAAATATGCCATAGAGTTATAAATTTTAAAATAAATTATATATATGAAGATAAAAAATGATAAAAATACAAATTCAGACCAAAAAACTGGAGAAGTTTAATTGAAAAAATAAGAAAACTTCGAATACAATATTTGTGATTTTCATTCTCGTGCAATTATGGTTACAAATATTATTATAATTATTTAGTATGGTTGTAATTCTACTTGTATTCCATCCTCTTACAATAATAATCATTAGTTATATCAATTATTATTATTATAATATTCATTTTTGTTTCAATGCTTCTTCCAAATCTTCTTCGCTGTCAGCCAATGCAGCTTCATCGTCATCGATTTTATCGTCGTCATCTCCTTCATCTTCACCCTCCTCATTTCCGTCCGATGTTTTTAAATTATCTAATCTTTTAGACAATTCGTCCTTTGTTTTCTTAGCATTTTTGGACTTCTTTTTCTTCTTATTCTTATTATCAGGGTTTGGTTTCTGCTGTTGAGTCCAATTTCCACCTTGCTTATTCATGCGGTACTGCTGCTAAAATTCAACAAAATATTAACAATTGACATTTAAGCTTAAATTTATAGTTTACTTACATTATTAATTCCGCCTTGATTCTTCATCATGTTGCTCATGGCAATGGACAGTGCATTAACCATTGGATTTAATTGATTAACGTTTGGTGTCATATAGGAGTTACCATAATGATTGACTGGATTCAACGGAGCTGTAACATATTTTGTTCCAGGAATCCAAGATGAATCTTGTCGTTGATTTGGCTGGAACCATCCATTGCTCCAGTCATTTGAGAAATCTTGATAGTTTTGTTGCCCTTGACTTTGTGGCTGTTGATTTTTATTTTGTCCGTGAGTTGACTTAGAAACGCACAAGGAGTAGCCTTTAACGATAAAGTCTTGACCACAAACCCTTCGTGCGACATCGGGATCGGCGAACGTAATGAATGCATATCCCTTGAATTTTTTCGGAAATGAGATCTCAACAATATCTCCAAATTGAGAAAAGAATTCTCGAAGATCAGCTGCCTTAATTGCCTCATTGACACGCCCGATAAAGCATTTATTTTCTTGATAGAGTTCAGACGGGTCACGAAAATCAGGCAATGCTAGTTTTGCCTGATGTCCATCAATTTTATGCTTTTGGGCACCCAATGCACGCATTTGTTCCTTGTAATCCTTAAATCGAATGAATGCAAAACGCCGGGAATTTCCTGTCTTCCGATCACGTTTCAATTCAACCATCAATAATGATCCAAAGTTTGTCTCAAAATACTCTCGCAATTCTGCTTCAGTTGTATTTGGCGACAAGTTCAAGACTATGAGATCGACAGTTTTTGGTTGAGCTCCGGTTGTGATTGTTTGCTGAGACTTTTGCGGCTGTGATGCACTGTCATCCGTGTTCTTTGGAAATACACACAGATATTGCATTTGATTGGCTCCCCACCCGTCATTTTCCAAGCCTGGTGGATGGAACTTGCCATCTTCAATTTTCACAGCGCGCAAGCAGTTGTTAATGGGATTTCGGAACTTGAGTCCTACTTGATTAGCCAAAGACAAAAATTAAGAAATTTTATGAACAAAACTTTAGTAAATTCAATTAAATAACATCTATGGACTAAGGCTAGACGACTTTTACACCCTTTTCATACATATTTCACTAGATTTTTGCAAAAATATACTGACCAGTGACTTCCGATCTAGCGAAAGCTGATGTTAGAGTTGTTAACAGGACAGTATTGTCCTTTTCGATCGGTATCTCTATCGGCTCATCGCCAAATTCAAGACAAACTTGAATGCAAGGCTGATTTATCATTTTTCTTATGTATTTTTTTATAAAATTATTTTTTTCTTTATTTTTCTTCCCAAAAAATCGATTTTCGAATAAAAATCACAAAAAAAAACTGAATAATGATAAAATCGTCGACTATTAAAACACTTTTTTGAATTTTCGGTTAGTCTATGTGAAATATTGCAATACAAAGATTTTTTGTATTTTTATTCGAATTGAATTTTGTTTTTGTTTATTTCATTTATGCTTGATTTACGCTTAGTTTACAATAATTTGATACTATTTTAAAATCTTTGTTTGTCTGAATATCAGATAATTCACTGTTATTACTTAAAATTTAACGTTTAATAGATATAAATTAACTTAGAAAATTTAACTTGAATGAAGTTTATCGGTGCAATAATAAAGTTTTTATTTGTTCGTTTTCCGAAGAAAATTCGTATAAAATAATAAAGCGAGCGAATCGCAAAAATTTGAATATTATAAGACCGTTACTTTTCTTAAGCTTGATTTGAAATGTTGAAGTAGAAAATCTGCCAAATCTTAAATCATTCTTTAAAAGCTAATATTCAAATTCGATTAAAAGTATGAAAACTGCTAAGGAATTCAGGTTCAACTCCCAAACTCATGATTTCAGAATTCTGGAGATTCTTTTTTATTTTCTTTCTAAGAATCATGAAACAAGCTCCAGCTTCAACAAAATTATGTCTGCTCAAAAATTCCTTAGAAAAACAATTCTGAAAAATAATTTTACAATATTTTTTAAATCAAAAAGTTTTTTGTTTGCTTAACGTCAAATTTTCTTTATTTCCAGACGCGATGAAAATTTCTCCGAAGGCCTGAAATGCGAAAAGTTTGCTTGTTCTTCAATTGATGCTTGAATGATATCATTAAATTATTATGTGTTTGGAAGTTTTATAGTTTACACTTTTGACAAGTTTATTTTTGGAAACTCTTGGTTGAGTGATTTTCATAATTTCGGAAGAAAGAAAATTTGAATATTTAAGAGGATGTTTGTTCTAGTGGGATGGAGGCTTTCGAAGAATTGTTGTAGCACAGTCCTGTGTTCAGTTGAGTTTCAAGTAATTAAAGTTCTAGTTTTGAAAGGCTTCAAACAACTGCAATTGAATTTTAAACTCATTAAAATCAGAAGCTGCCACTAATTACTGAAATTTAAATTAAAAAGCTTTCAAAAATAAATTATTAAAAACAACAAAAATCTCATTTTTTATAATCAACAATTTATTTTTCATTTTTCTCATAATTTTCATCACTTTTTTTTTATAATTCAATTAGAACAATTGCATGCATGTCGATTTGGTTTTTTAGTCAATTAATTCCATTTGTCCATTTGTGATAAATAATTTCTCGATTTTCGAATTTTATTTTAGAAATGAAAAATTTATAAAGAAACTTTTTTATAATAAAACTTAAAAAGGATTAAAAATCATTTTTGCGTCACTTCTAAAAATGCAACTCTACAACTTTTTTTTAAGTTTTATATTTTTTTATGTTTAATTTATTTATTTTTATAAACTTTTTGTTTTTTTATTAAATCGCTTAATTTAATTTACGCATGTTTTAAATTTATTTTTTAATTTTTATGATCGTCTTAAACTGCAAATTTCATCTACAATATAAAGTTTTCCTTCAATGCATGTTGAAAACGATCGATTAGCGCTTTGAATGCATTAACATTTTAATTTACTCTTCGATTAATCAATTTGATTTAAAGTTTTTTCTTTATTTTCTTGTAAGTTTAATTAATGATTGATTTTAAGTATTTTTTTTATTTTGAATTGCGATATAAATTTTTCATTTTATTTAAATTTGAGAACTAAACGATCGATATATAAAGGTATATATGTATATAGGCAAATATAATTTTTACTTTTTTATATATAAATTTCAGTAAATATGTAAATTCAACTATTTTCGTCCTAAATGAAAAAAAATCTCTTTGTTCGGATTTTTAAATCGCTTTTTTGATTGCAAAGATGTGAAATTGATCAATAAATATCAAAATTCTGGTATTGATATTTTATTGATAAATTCCCTATCCTGGTTTAGAAGTTCAAAACTTAAAGTCAAATTTTCAAGCGATTAATTTTAAAACGAAAAAAAAATAAAATAAAAACCTAAAAACTTTCGACATTTGTTTTATGGAGTGAAATATATTAATCTGAAATTCGTCAATATATTCCCCGAGCGGCACAAAGGCTCCATTTGCCTTCCATATGGAAGCTATACGGAGCCTCCATGTTCCACCCTCCATTTGAAAATCTTCCGAAAACCTTACTATCATGGAACTTTGACGGAGCCAAAGCTCCGAAAATCCTCCGTGGGACGTGCATTTATTAACACCAAATGCAAGTCATTTGAGAGGTTTTGATGGAGGATGGAGGATCCATTTGTGGTAGTCAAACGGAGGTTTAATGGAAGTATTTTTCAAAGGATTTTTGGTACGATTTTCCACGTGTTTTTCTATGTTTCGCAATTTTTATATCAAGATTTGTAGCTGTATTAGTGGACTTAATTAAAGTACACTAACACTATTGAAAAATTTACAACTTAATTTAATTAAGTCGCAACCACAGCAATTTCTAAGTCTCGATCACACGCGTGAGAAACATAAGAAATTATTAAAAATTTTCATACAAATTAAACGACCCCATATAATAGTGATTTCTGCATGCGCTTGTGAAGTATGTAATTTCATACAAAATCACAAAAAATTATCCTTTTTTGCTTTTTTAAAGCTTGAAATGAAGCAATATGATTCAGTAAAGCTTTTCGACAATATTTCAATCCATTACAGTATAATCTGACCTTTGTCTTTTAAAAATTCAAAAGCACGAGTTTTTCGGTATTTGATTTAAGAAAAAGCGGAGTTCATATGGAATCCAAATGGAATCAATATGAAGGATGAAAAAATAACCCTCCATTTACTTCCCACATAGTGGAGGTGGCTTTCATATGGATTCCATATGGAGACCACCCTCCACCTTGTGCCGCTCGGGTTCCACTCTTAAATTTGTTTCTAATCGATTTAACAATTTTTTTCCTGTTTAATAAATTTATTATTAAATGTATATAAAGTGATTTTTCTTTAATGTTAAGGGAGAAAAGCTTTTTTCTGTTCATTTGATTTTCAGTTTTTTTTCATTAAATTATTATTAGTATAAAGATATTTGTTTAAGAAACTTTTTTTGATTTAAATATTTTTTTTTGAGAATTAGTTTAGAGAAGAAAGAAACTGATGTAATTATGTATGGAAATATCATTGAGTGTGGATTTCTGGATTATAAATATGTATATGTGTGTCTTTTGTGTTATCTTTAGTAATTGATAGTTTCATTGATTAGTAGTGTACATAGGTAACGTAATTAGCTTGAGACTTCTTTCATTGTTTCATTATCACTTTCCTGTTTTGAGTAAAACTGACATCAGTCATTGATTTTTTTTTATTCTTACTATGTTTATTTTTGGCATTTAGTTGTGTTATCATTTGTTGCTATATTTTCTGCTGATTTTGTGTGTTTTTTTTGTTAAATTGAAGAATCAATGTGGAAAATTTTATAAAATCAATAACGAATGTAGAAATACTGTAAAACTTAATTATTTGTGAAACCATAAACTTAAATTTCAGTTCATTAAACCTTTATGACTTTTAGTCATTGGAAATTATATGTGGAATAAAGCTATTCCAGCTTTTTGAATCGAATTTGTGTACATTTATTCCCGCTAGTTCTTTTTGATTGGGTAATTAAGAAAATTCAGTTAAAATTTATGATTCTGATAGGATTTTCCAGTTAATTCGTAATAATGGTTTAGTAAATTGCTTAATTATTGCTAACTGTCCAGTTAATTCCTGATGAAAACTTTTAAAAACTTAAAATTTGCAAAAACAAAAGTTCACGTGTATTAACAATTGCTTTTATAAAATGTTGAATTCGAAAAAATACCATTAAAATGTAAAGGTTTCTGAATCTAAGAAATTCATTTTTAAGATTTCACAAATCAATGAAAATTTAAATTTTTATGCAATAAAGGATTCATGAACATTTCAACATAAGCTTAAATTATGAACAAAACACAAAACAAAATCTCCCATTATAAATTTTTTATTTAATATTTTTTTCTATACAATTTTTTTTATCATCATGATCATCACTTTTTAGTAAGGCATCATCATAGCTTAACACACGGACTTCGTTCTCATAGCATAGTATATGAAAAGCGCGCTCCAATCTTCAACATCTTTTATTATATTTAATATACATGGTTGATTTAATGACTATGAATTTGCTGCTTTGGTAGCCATTAATGTCAGCAATACACAGAGAGTTTTGTGCGGAGAAAATGTTTTCGCCATAAATAAGGGATTAAAAAGTCAGTAATTATCATTTCTTGTTGTCGTTTCTGTTGTTTTCTTCCTTATATTAGACTCTTTTTTATGTATGATGGTAATAAACCTTCCATGTCTGTCTTATGACTTAATTTGCACGGGATTAATTCAGTTTTTTTTGTGCGTGCTATGTTTTTGGATACGGAATTTGTTAGGTTAAATAATAATGATAAAAACAACATAATTTAGGTCTGAATAATGTTGTTGAAATGTGTAAAGACGACTTTTTTGCCTGTTGACCCGATCAGCACACTATTTTTTACATGCTAAGTTATAGCATCTTAAAACAACATCAAGCCATGATTTCCAATGGTTTACAATGTAGATTCCACTTGCTTGCTATTAATAATGTGTGCTGAACGGGTCTGAATCTTAAAAGAATGGAAACTAGATAAGATGTATAGTTAACCAAGTGTTGGGTCGACTAATGAAAGATTTTATGGAACTTTCATAAGAAAATGTCATTAGTCGACCATCATGTCTAGTATCTCACTCAGATTAAGGTTTTTACTCCCTCGTGTCTAGGCATTTAATGATATTATCAATTATTTACTTAAAGATCTAATAAATTTTAAGGATTTTTAACAGTATCACTAGAAAATGTTTCGACTGTCGCTTTCAGACACAGCTGAAAAGTTCCAATTCATCTGGCATTCTTAAATTTACATTATTTAAATTTAATTAATTATCCTAATTACAATTTTTTTGTAAATTAATTTATATAAATACTACAGACTATTTTCAACAACTTATCACTTATAATTTAATTCGCGTAAATTTCCCATAATTTATCATTCTCGATTTTT